CACACACACACCTGTAATAAACATACACACCTGTAATAACACACACACCTGTAATAAACACACACACTCTTGTAATAAACACACTCATTGATGTGTCTGTGGCTCAGTGGTTAGAGCAGTTGTCCTCCAATGAGTGAGTGGGGTTTGATTCCAGCGTCCCTGAGCAAGGCACTGAATGCCTCATGGCCTCTGAGCCCCCACAACATTTACCGTGTTGATGGTACATGAGGGTTGTGTTGTGAAGCACTGAGTGTCCTGATTAAAGGAGCTGAATAAACACAGTCCATTTATCACCATATACAGTGGATGCAGATATGGAAAAGGTGTGTGTGACTCCGCCCCCTCCTACCTGCAGCTCCATGTGCGTCCTGATGACAGAGCTGTGCAGCTGCTGCTGTCGGAGCTCCTCTCTGGAGTTCAGCGCCTGCAACTCGTCATCTCTGAGAGAAAATCGCAGCTGACGGATGTTCAGACTCTGAAACAACCAGCCAGGATCAGGACCGGAACCAGGACCAGGATCAGGACCAGAATCATCTCTGGTTCTCAGGTTCATACCTTCTCCTTGTCGCTGATAGCCATCAGCTCTTCCAGCTTCTTTCTGCCTCCACCCACCTCCTCTCTGAGCCACGCCCCTTGCTGTTGCTCATGGTTACTAATTAAAATAGGAGGTAACGAACTCAGGAGCTCCCTGAACACAGACAGCTGCTTCACCACCTCTGAGACAGGAGGACAAGAGGACATGAGGACCAACAGATGGACAGGTTCAGGTTGGAACTAATGAAACATCACGCACCCTGTTTGCTTTCACTCAGAAACCTCCTAGCCTGTTCCTGGTATCCCAGAAGCCTTTTCTGCGTGCCCTCAGCCCATTGGTCCAAAGAGTCAGGAAGCAGGAAGAAGCTGCTGAGTTTGTTGCGGTAAAAGTCCTGATGGACGGACAGAAGATCTGCTGTCATCACGGCCCAGACTGACCTCATGATTATCGATTAATTAAAGGTCCTCTTTACAAATCTATATCCAACGGTGCGTTTGAAAGAGTTTCCTCCAGTAGTTTTCCAGATACATTGATATGTGGGTACGCACTCAGTGTAAACAAAGTACTTTTATCTGCAGACTTTACTCAACAAATCTGACCCTAAATACATACAAATACTTTAAAACTGTCAGCTTTCTACACCCAAACAGCTGGTCCATGGGCGTCTCCATTGTTGACTGTTTTCAGTCACTTCGGTTGATTTCATGGGGAAACAAACACACCTGGGACACTTTCAACATCAATACGAGAAAAGTAATGTGTGGATTTAGGTTCTTATTTTACCTTTTTTTTTTTTTTTTACCCGTTTTCAGTTAAATAAAATGCTGTTTTTATCAACTTGTTTTTATTTAAAGGGGCCGTTTGGGAATATTTCCAGGACCACTTCTGGCCCTCGAGCCGTTAGTTGCTCACGTGTTGTTTTCGATCAGAAACTCAAAAACAAAATCTTGATGAACCGAACAGAGTCTGACACGATGAACCTAAAGTGACAAACATAAATCTGTTCATCTTTTATTTCTATAAATATTTAAATGCTGCTTGTTTGAATTTTACAAAAAAATACATACCGGTAATTTTTTTTCTGCTAAAGGGGGAAAAGTCTGAAAACATTTTAGCAGATTTTATTTTTTCTTCTTATTCATTCAGACTTGAACCATCCTAAAATCAATTCCAGCCTCGAAGACTGAAGGACCCGGTGGGTCCAGGTTTTGTGTCTCGGGTACCTCAACGTGCTGCAGGACGCTGTTGTTGGCTCTCCACAGGATCGACTGCACGGCCGAGCTGAAAGAGCTGAGAGGAAAACCACGAGATGGAAACGTTTGAACTTTGGACCCGTCAGCATCCGGTCTGGTTTTTATCAGCTCTGCAGCATCTGCTCTGGACCAGGTCCTGAACCAGAACTCAAAGGGTTTTAAGAAACTTTGTAAATGTTTTTAAAATTCAAACATTAAAGTCAAATTAAAGACTGAAACTATGAGGCTCTGTGCTCGCTCTGATCTCCCATCATGCTTAGCGTCTCCTGTTGGTGATAAGCGATCCAGATGCTGCAGTTACTGGACCAAAGTTCCCAGAACAATCGGATCAGAACCAGACATGATACTGTGACAAAATGAGATTAAATGATCAGGCCAGACTCACTGTGGGTTCAGTTCTGCTTCCTGTTTGGATCCAAAAATCTGGAACTTCCTCTCAGCTCGGATGTCGGTTCTGACGGGCCTGCAGCCCTTCCTGCTGCTAACAACAAAACACACAAACAACGATAACCAGAACCATCAAACATGCTGTTTTCCTTCATGTTCTGATCCACATGGATCAGGTCCACTTGTCTTTCTGTGTCAGTCACTGAAACCAGAACCACTGGGCCGGCCTCAGTTATCCAACCACAGAGAGTAAAGTCAAAGAACCAGGACCAACAGGTCAGAGATCATTTCTGTGTTTAAAGTCTGAAGTGAACCGGCCCGGTCATCCCTGTTCTGATGACATCATCAGATGGGTTTACCTCGGTGAGCTGACGGACTCGGTGCTTCTCTGCTGACGTTGGACCAAACTCTGACCTGGGAACACACAATCAGCTGTGAGGGAGACCACCTGTTTCAGTCAGAACCACAGGATGTTTACTGTTTGTTGTTGTTGTTTACCAGCTGATGCTCTTCTTCTCCTCTGAACATGATCTGCTCCAGAATCCTGGACCAAAGAGAACCTGGAGGGTTTTGAATTTTCAGAAACATGAAGAAGAAAAGTTCGGACCCATCTCTGTTGCTCAGAACTTTAACTTCCTGCAGAGATCCGTTCAGACCTGACGACTCCAACAACAGGATCTTCATGAAGGTCCACTCCGGTTCTGCTCAGCTGCAGGGATCCGGTTTGAGTGGAGACCCGAACCTGCCTCCTGGATTTAGGATGAGCCGTCAGAACCGCGCTGTCCTGAACCGCAGAATTCTGAACAAACACATCCAGGGCAGCAGAGAGGTTCTGAAAGGTCCGAGAGACACCACAGAGTCCAGGACACAGCGGGGACAGGAAGTGACCTACCAGACTAAAGTCCAGGTACTGACAGCGCTTTGAGATGTCTTCATGAGCGGAGGACAGGAGACAACAGACCTCGTCTGGAGACACCTGCAGAGAGACAGGACCAGAAACTAGAGACACCTGCAGAGAGACAGGACCATAAACTAGAGACACCTGCAGAGAGACAGGACCAGAAACTGGAGACACCTACAGAGAGACAGGACCAGAAACTGGAGACACCTGCAGAGAGACAGGACCAGAAACT